CCCCAAAACCCCAAAACCCCAAAACCCCAAAACCCCTCTTTAAATTTCATAAATTGAATAATTAGTTTGAATAAGATATTGGAAATGGAGCAAAGTAAGATAAATTCTGCATTTATCTCCTTGTTTTAGTAAAGAAGATTGCTGTTGTATATAATTGATGGTGTCTAATGTGGTTATATAGTTGGAGTAGAGATAAATATTGCAGATTTTGAATTCTTTGAAGAAGGAGATGCCTATAAATCACAACCTGTCAATAAGTCAGAGATAGGGTGTTATATACATTGAAATGGCAGATTACTAGACATGCTCACCATCTCTGAGCAAGAGCAGACTATGTGTATAAAATTTACAGATGTTTCTCAAATACTTCAAGTTATAATTAAATAATTTGAGTAATGAAGAAATCAAATATGGTAAGTATTTTCCAAGAATTTTAACCAGATTTTTAGGCTCAATCTCACTTGAGGCTGGATTACTAATGCGAAGCGTTACTCCAGAAGCAAAAAGAGTCTGGCTTACCGTTTTTGATCACCCAGATGATGATTTGTACGATGGAGATTTTACTTATGATGACTCTGATGCTCCCAGAGTTCTTCTTCAGTTCCAGCAAGCTGGAATGAACCCTTCTCAGACAACAAGCCAATCGATTACATCTTATGAAGAAGAGAGTAGTGGATTTCAGAAAACTGTTACGTCTACAACAAAGACTACAACCAGCATTAATAGAGTAATTACAAGTTCTGAAAGCAAGCAGCAGCCAATCGAAACAGTTGTAACTGAAACAACTCAAAAGTATATCGAGGCATCAAATGCTAGAACTGCACCTTATGAACCTCAGCTTCAGTTCGAAATAGGCGGAGAGCCTCATAACAGCAATGGCTATGATACAAGACATGTTGAAGAGGAACTTCAAACACTAAACCAAAATTTGATAGTTGACATGAATGATAACCAGAATCAAGCTTTTCAAGTAGACGAAGATAGAGTTGAAGCTCTAAATTTCTTAGAAAGAGCCCATCTAGAACTCAAAGGAGAACAAACCCAAGATGAGCAAGAGACTAAAAGACTTGAATCTGCTAAGGAAGAGATAACAACAGAGACAACAACAAAAACAGCTAAAATAGATTCTGAAATCCATGATCTCAACACTAAAACGCAAGATGTTGAAGAAAAATTAGATGAAGCCCAAAAAGAGAAAAATAGTAAAGCCCAAGAAGGTCTCAAGCTCCAAGATACCATTGATATTGAAGAGGATCTGAATGAAAAGGGACTCTCGCAAGAAACAAAGGATCTAAGAGATCAAAATTGAGCCCTTCAGGGTCAATTTCAACAGTCAGCTTCAACTCTAATTAATGAAAAAGATGAGAGATACCAGACATTAAAGGCTCATAAGCAGCTTTGTTATGAATATGATGACATGATTAAACATTACTCCAGCAAGTTATTCCAAGCTGAAGAGTCAAGAAAGATTCATATGGATCACAAAAATGAGGTTCTACATAAAGTAAAGACACTTGAAAACACAGGAGAGTTCTTAGACCAAAAGATACAAATCAGTGAAATAGACCTCGAGGCACTCAAAACTGAACTTGAGTTATGAAGAAATGATTACTCATTTGATAAAACTGTTCTCAATGAGCATATTCAAGAGTTACGTGAGTCTATTCAAGAACAAGATGTAGAAATCGCTGCACTTAGAGATAGACTCAATGATGTTGAAAGCCACAAGAAAGATCTTGATGTTACAATAGAGAAGCAAAAACTTGACTTGGGAGCATATGAAACAGAGATGAAAGAAATTGAAGCTCTTGGCTATGACAACCAAGTAATTGAACTACAGGGTAAATTGAAATCAGTCGAAACTCAAAGAAGGCAACATCAAAATGATCTTGAGAAAGCCCAGACAAATCTTTCAGCCAAAATGACCTTATTTGAGGGTCTTGAAGGCAGAAGAAAGAGAGAGAAAGAAGATAATGCTCAAAGAATTGAGAGTGAACTCATAAAAATTGCAGATCTCCAGCTAACAATTAATGATATTCTTAGATCTCTCGATGAACTTAACAGTAAGTTAGAAAGTGATGGTAATAAAGAATTGGTTGGAGCAGCACTTGAGAACGAAAAGGATTCCCTGAATTTAAAACTACAATGGGCACTAGAGGAGAGAGATAATAGTAGAAATGATATTAAAGAAGCAATTGAAATGTTCAGAGCTAAACAGTCAGAAATGGCTGAACAAGAGAAGTACATTCAAGTCTTGAGGGAGGATATCAAAGAAGTCACCATTCTAATTCGAGAGAAGAAGACTATCATAACTGAGTTAGAATTAGAAATTGAGAAGTGAGATGAAAGAATTGAATTCTTAGTAACTTGAATCAGAGAGCTCGACACTGAAATTCATGAACTTACTATCATTTTGCACCAGAGAGATGATAGATTAAGAGAGCTCAATGAAATTGTGGGTAGACCTCAACCAGTAGATATTCATTATAAAGCAGTAAAAGGAGACAAAGTCGATGAAATGCTTGCTATGTATCTTGAAGGCTGCCCAGTTCCAGTTAAAAGATTAGGAGGAGGATTCTACATATTCGGTACTAGGAAGATCTATGCTAAAATTATGAACGGCAAGCTAGTAGTGAGAGTTGGAGGAGGATACATGTTTATCTCTGAATTTATCGCGACTTATTCAGAGCCGGAGATCGCCAAACTCACAAAGATTGCTTCTAATCTTGGAGTTGAATCAATCTGGGATCTTGATTTAGAAGAATTATTCCTAAATAAAGGAGGAGCAAGTCCAAAGACTTCTGGACTTGATAAATCTCCTAGAGGAGGATTTGGGTCAGCTTCGTTTAAAAAATCAAAGAAGGGAAAAACAGCTATAAATGGAACTAAGAGACCAAAGACATTCAAAGGTGGCTTCTAATATTTGAATCTTTTTCCCATTACTTAATTCATAATCCAAGTATAAAGGGATTTATGGGGTTTTGGGGTTTTGGGGTTTTGGGGTTTTGGGG